TTTGCATAACTTACGAAAAACTTAATTATTGCAAAATTGCAAACAGTATTATAAAAATTGCTTATACTATCTGATAGAAGACACTTTTTACTTTGTATTCATGTTTTTGAAGTTGTATTTTTATCTTTTGTTTAAGAAATATTGTCTAAAAACAAAGTGGTATGTCGGTATCGGTGACCTTCCTCTACTAAATGTAAATTTTTTGCAAATGTATTAATAACAAAATGTATACTTTTTCCTCTAGAAAAACTATCTCATATAGTCACATCGTTATTTCTTTCGAGATTATTTTCTCGACAGTAAAATAGTTTATATAAGTTGCGTGAGTTTCGATTAGTTTGAAGACCCTTCGATCTGAGAGATGCACCTTTAAGATAGTCAAAATAAAAATTTTTTTACCTCAAACTTTTCGTTTGCGATAAAACGAAGAAAAGTTCCTGGGAGAATCGCGACGCACGGGAGGACGCAACGTCGTAAAACGCGTCTCGACATCCCTCGGAGCAGCACGACGTTTCCCACGTCGCAATTCGAGTGTATTCCACGGACGTAACTGGGACTATCAAACTATAATACAGTCATTCGGCTGACTAGTAGAGAGTTACGCGGTCGGCAAAGAACCGCGTATTTGTGGGCGGCTTTTACGAGACTCTTAAATGTAGACTTAAACGCTCGTCCGTTACTTTTACCGCGACTACAAATGCGGTGCGTAAATTTTCGGTCTGACGTTACGACGCGGTGCGTTACGACGTTCTCTGACGTTACGACGGTTTGACAAGAGTCGTCGCGAGCGAGCGAGCGAGCGATTAGATACCGCAAATCGATGTAACCGCCAAACCGCTACTGACCTCGAGCGTGTCTAATAATGTACGAAGGCTACCGTGATATATCGAGTTCGGATTTCTAACGCGAGATCGAGTGGGATTTAGGGAGGATCTTCTCCGTCCGACGTTGCGGCGACGATAAAGGATTTACGAGTGGAATTTCGTTCCCCGCGGTTGTAATGGCTTTCCTGATGAAGATTGAATTCGACCCTCCCGGCGCTTTTCGGATCTCTGAACGCCCGGGCTTCTCTTTCCTCTCCTTTTTTTTTTTGCAATCGATAAGATCGTGAAGATTATCGTTTATAGACGCCTCTTTATTTGTGTAGACAAACGAGTGAATTTTTCGGAACTGCCGTACTAAAGTTAAATGGAGGTTAAAGGGGAACAACGCGAATGCTCAGAAGCTGAACGGGATGTATAGTTATTCTTTGTTCTGACTGATGACTGGGAAACAGCGCTCGTACGAATTGCTAGCTACTGCCTGGGGAATGCACCGTCCTTATCTTCCAAGGAAGATTAATGTAGCGAGCACGCGAACGCACTCGAGACCCGATCGCATGCATTACTACGCATAGTCATTACACGGTTGTGTAAAGCTGTATATCTCTTCACGTGACATATTCGAGACTAATCGTGTAATATTTGTTTCGCTGAAAAAGACCGTTAGTTTAATCGCATTCAGCAGAAAAAGTGACTTTGCGACTGTTGTAACACAAAACTAGAAATCACGAAAATGTCAGGGAAATTAAAAACGGTCAGAGAAATCAGGGAAAAGTCAGGAAATTTCACAAAATTTCCTGGAAAATTAAAATTCTCAGCTTTAAGGAAGTTTCGTATATCATACCTCTGTAGTTTTGGAATACTATCAACTTAACAATTAAATGCAAGCAATGTCAACAACATTAATACGAGTAGTAATTGACATTGCTATTTTAAATTGCTTTCTCAATGAATTTTTTAACGATTTCCAAATCAGGAAAAAAATACGACAAATTTCAAAATATTGTTAAAAGCCAGGAAACTCGTGAAATTTTGTTTGGAAATCAGGGAAAGTTATGGAGTTTTATGATGAGGAATTTGTGGCAAGTCTATAAAAGTAAGTCATTACTGACCGTTTCTATTTTTCAGATTAATATTATATTAGTAAAAGATAACCAACACAGATGATTCCAGTAATATTCTAGTAACATTACAAACATTACAACAATATTGCTGCAAATTCTGCATTGTATGGGAAGATTCTGCAATTTTTTAACTTACCAATATATAATTATATCATTTAAGCGATAAAAAATTAAGTTTTTTCACATTACTTTCTTTATTTTTATAATAATTTATGTGCCGTTCCTTTGAATAAGAAACGTCGGTACTTCTATTGTTAATAGATTGATAATATTTAAATCCAGTGAGGAATTAAGAACGATGATCAATCATAAAGAATCTTACAACAGTTGCAAACTATTTTCTGTTCAATGAAGTCATTCTTTAACATTGCTGTGCTTTGTAAATAGCCGCAATTTTCAGAGAGTTACAGCGAGATATCGAAGCGTTTTTGCGATGCAAGATGATCACATCTCGGGCCCTCATAGTTCGCTCCGTCGAGAACGTTCTTCGCGCAACGCTCTTGTCGCCTAAGAAGTTGATGCTTCGGATGCGCCGTAAAAAAAAATTTCATTTCCAAAGTGTATTATCCGACACTATTCGCGTGCATCGCTCGTGCAACGCTAAGAGCAGTTTTACAGTTACGGCGGATACAACGCGCGCTTTACGACGGGACGCGGCCGGGTAAAATCTTCCTTGTGAAAGATCAGTGTTTAAGCGACAGTATGCACTGCACGTTGCACTGCTATTTGTTAGTCCTGTGCTGATTGTTAGTCCTATGAATGCCGCATGCCGTCGAGGACGAGAGCACCGATATACGCGACGTATACACACGTCGATCAAGTTAAACTTCGCATCATCTTCCCGTCGGAAGTTATCCAAGGATTTATTATCGCGAGAGAGAAAAGGGAAGAATGTAAAAATTCAAGAGTTATGACGAAACAAGTGGATAGCCAATTTAATCCGTTCATGCCGAGATTTTCAAAATGCAGATTCTTAGCGATCTAAGAATCCTGTTGAAGACCCAAGAAACGCGAGAGTCTCCAAGGAGTTTAAAAAAGCTCAGAATCCACGGAGATACAAAGCTTCAGGGGGAAGGAAAGAAGACGGGGATCTTTCACTGTTATTTATAGACAGATTACTTCGCTTCGCTTACTTCGTCGCATGCGATACCGAAGATTTATAAGCGAAGCGGGGCAAAACTTTCTTCGGCGTGTGTGTGCGCTCGCGTAAAGGTAATATGACTTGGGGAAGCCGCGTTTCCCATGATTCTCACAGATCATGATACGGCCCTCGTGACATTCACATAACGGCATAGCCACGATCTCACGTGACATATTTTATCAGTGCATTCGATCATAAACGCGCGCGCTCTCTTTATACCATTCATCTCCCCTTTTTGAATCATCTCATCACGCCTAATCTATCCGCTATATCCGTTTGTTACCAGGATGCCCCGCAAGAGATGCGTATCGGCCGTAGGAGTTATTATCTTCCAAGCAACTTTCAGTCCATTTTTCTTTAGCGAACGCATAATCTCGGACTTAATTCCCGAGCTCTTCGAGAAAATGAAAATTAAAGAGCGCCCGCGCGGTAAGCGCACTTGAATGAAATTCCTGTGCTAAAGAAAAGTCGACGCTAAATTCCTTGAGAAAACAACTCCCGCCGCTCGTATACGTCTCTCTTAAGGGCGCCCGCAATTACAATTAATGCATAGTCTAACTAAGGAGTTAAATACAGATCTCGGGATTTTTCGGAGGATCCGGTGCGTCAACGGGATACTCGGACTCTTGCCGTCCTCGGGATCCCCGAATCATTGGATTCGCCCTAATAATCCCGAACGATCGACTGGTTTGCGAAAATATTGGTCGGATAGTTACAGCCCCCGTTTGCCCCTCTTTCACGAATTCGGCCGAAAGAGACGTTAATTTGCGGTCCCGATAGAAATCCTCGGGGGCTCCATAGATCACAATTAGCTCCCCGCGAGCCGTAGGCGACACGAAATTTTCCGCGACGCGAAATGCGAAGCTCGCGGCGTCGTCGTCTTGCCATTACTCACGATGATATCGTGGCGGTGTAGCGATACCGTCGTTTTCATGCGAAATGACGTTTATCGTAATTGCACGTCCGGGCGCATTGAGCGCACTAAATTTCCGTGGCGCGTCCCCCTATTAATTACCTCCTGATAATCTCGACTTGTAATTTACAATACGCCGGAGGACCCTCCATCGAAAAATCGCGCCGTCGCGTTCACGACGAGCGCGACGGGACAATTTGACCGCGGAATGAATCGCTCGATTAATCGCAGTTGCAAATGACTGATCGTTGTGATCAGTGACTAATTAAACCTACGCGGCTCGCTGCTGTAATGAGCGAAATAACTCGTTTTCTACGGTCGTTCGATCAATTTACAAGCGATATTAATTCCCGAATATCGACAACGGTTTAAAAAAAAAAAGAAAAAAATAACGATAACGCGATCAATCTTCCGCTGACGGGAGGAAGAACGTGTACCCCTCAAAAACGGTTTCACGTCGTCTGAAGAAACGAGCGAAAGACGGATCAATTTTTCTTCCGGAAAGGAGTCGCGTGCTCCAAGATAAAAAGAGAGTCTCTCGCGCGCGATCCCCCTCTCTGTATCTCGTATCGTCGAACGATTTTCTTTATTTTTTTTTAATTTCTTTTTTTCTTAATCAATTGTGTACATGTGTTTATTACCTTTATATTGACTCAATGATGTTATTCTGTGGTGCTTTGCATGTCTCTATTGGACTCTGCATGTCGTATAGGGCATCGTAAGTACTTACTAAATGAACTCGTCATGAGACCTACGAATACACACGACACATTTTCAGACTCCAATCTCGTCGCCAGTGGACGGACGGATTCGCGAATCCATCGATCCCTGAATGGGCGCGGATTCCTCGGAGCTTCGAATCCACACGAATGCCGGTGCACCTCGAGATCCCTGGATTCGCGGATCGTTCGATCCCTGGATGTTCGGACTTCTCCAAGCCGGAAGATCCCCGAAACTTCGAATTCTCGGATTTCGGGAACGTTGGGTCTCTCGGTCCTTGGATTCGGACGATCGGGATCGAGAATCCTTGGGTTCTGATCATTCAGGAATAACCGAAGGATCGTTTGATCCTTGAAAATACTTAGATCCTTATACACAAGTAGTAAAATCTACGACTGAATCTACGCCATTTATATGAAAATGCGATCGAGGAATCTCGTTCCGCTGATCCGTTCTTTGTAGAAAGAAAAATTCAATATAATGAAGTTAATAATAAATGGATGGAGAATAAAACAATGAAAAGCGACAAAATAAGGCTTTGTGTTAAATCCAAATAGAGGTAAAAATAAATTTGCTAGTAAAAGGTAGTCGGTAATTACAAGTTTTAAGATCCTAACATATTTTCTCTCTAATTATAATTTACTCGGTCCACGAAGCTAACGGACACTCAAAATTTTTTAAGTAATTAAGTATTCGTAAAGAAATCTCAGAATCACCGACAATCTCGGCTACGTGCTACTCGAGACGGTGCTATTCCGAGATGTATTTTTGCTCCAGAATGAAAAGTTCGCCGACACGTATACAACTTCACAGTTCGATGCTCTGAATACAAAAGAACGGAGTTAGCGAGACGAAAAAATAGAGGAACGAGCCTTCGCCGATCGATACGATTTCAAGTTGCGGAAAAGAATTCTCTTCCGCTACACGGGCGAGCCCTGTCACATTCTCGCCCTGTATTTTTATTAATTTATCCTGGCATAGGAAACCTTAACAGAAAGTAGCCATGTATCGTTATTAAACTTGCCCTTGTCGTTCGTTCGGATAGATAACTCGGCTAACGACCGCCGATCAACTTCTATTACGACTTTACCCGTTTCCTATATATATATATATATTGTGTATCTCTCTGTCTCTTATCTTTATCGGTCAGTTTCATCTCTTTTTTTAGTTTTTTGTCAATATTTTTCTCTCTCAACGCCTTCAGATGCCTAGTTAATCCCCCTTTTTGTTACTTCCCGACTTTCCCATCGGCCTCAAGCCTCGAACCTGAAGAGAGATTAACGAGGTACGAGCAAAAAGAATGAAAGGGAGAATGGGAAAGAGGGGTGAAATAAATAAGCGGTGAGGGTAGAAGGGGGTTCGAAAAAGAGAGGGATTTGTGCCACGGGGGAAATGCCGGCGGCGTTTGGCGGACACGGAAAAGGGGAGAAATGACTTCCGTGGATTTTTCTCGCTCGAAAGCTGATGTTGTTCTAACCCGGGGGTGCATAAACTCCATCCTTTTAGTAATATTACCCGACCGGTATGAGAATCGTGTAATTTTGCACTCGCATACGTGCCGAGAGAGAGAGAGAGAGATAGAGAGAGAAGAGAGACGTAACGATCGACGCCGAGAATTTCTCGGAGTAAACATACATTTTCAAATATTTTCCTTTGACTTTACTTCGCTTCTTGATTTCAGCATTATAATGAACATTTACTTCTCTTAGATTAGAAAAGTAGTTGTATGCACTCCAACTCTCTCGCAGGTGCAGAAAAATCCGTGGGAATTATTTCTCTCTTTCGTCGTTCGTTGCATAAATCAGGAATGACCGAAAGTGATTTTCCGGCACGATGATCGGATTTCCTGTATTTCCTCTATTGTTTTCTAGATTTCCCTTGTCCTGTGATTCATTTTATTCTGAAAATCCTCCCCTTTCCCTTCTCTTTTCCGGTCATTCTCTCTCATTAAGCTCGTACATGGACACCGAAAACCACATCGAAGCTGCGGGCTCGTGAATAGCTAACTGCCGCCTCGTTAATTGCCTTTCCGGGTTTTTTTTTCTACCCACGGTGTAATGCGATCCGACAGAAGTTGTACGAGGATACGGGGGTGTCCATTTTAACTTTTGTGTTACCCTCCCCGACTTTGCGAAATTTTTAACATCCAGTAGTTTCTTTACGATATCTCGTAAAGCGTGTCTTTCACGAGAAAGACCTGTAAGACCCTTTCGTGCTTCCCTCACCGAGATCTTTAAGGATGAAAATCTATCTCTTAACCATTCCCTGTCGAGTTACATGTCTGAATTTTTCATTTCTTCCCAAATGTCTCGTGTAAGTCACGTATTTCATCAGAAAATACGCGATCCTTAGTTGAAATTTATCAAAAGAACGCATATACTTTAGAACAAGTACTTGCCGAGTTATGACCCATTTATGACTTACCTGGTACTTCCCTAAAACATTTTCCAAACTCATCTGAAATTGTGGTTTTATCGTTTTATACGAGAAAAGAGAAATTAATAATGTTTATCATCTATTTTTGAATATAATTCTTTCATATTTAAAAAAAAAATTTTTTTTTTAGTTTTTAAAAAAGCTGATATTTCAGTATCTACCGATATTGCAGTATTGGCATGTCACTTTGTATCGGGGTATTTTCAGCTTCTTTTATGATACGGTATTATCGAAAAATCGCGTAACAAGAATTGAAGTACCATATCCAATTTCGTTTGCTTATTCGAGCGAGATCGATTTCCTTTTCAAAATTTCTTTTGCCATTTTTCCTTAAATTTCCATTCTGTAACCAAAGGATCTCGCACTAAATATATGGAAAATTAGGTGAATTAGTTTTCATATATAATGTAGTTTATAGTAATAAACAAAATATGTCATAGACATAAAGCTGAATGGTAGACAGTTTTTAACCAAAGATGCTTTTAAATTTTACAAGTTTTACACCTTTCTGCATTATTTCTCTTTATTGATTTATTCTCGTCGGTCTAATACAAATCATAATTATTTTTATATCTTTGCTACACCATAATCCAAAAACACTGAAAAAAGAAATGTTTAATTTTAAGATATTAAAATGTTTTATTCTTGTCTGCATTTTTTAAACACTTAAAGATGTTTTAGTTTTAAACTTTTTCAATTGACAAAATACGTGTTTGAATTTAAAATACTATGCATTTTAAATCCAAACACGTAGTGTTTTGTCTATTGAAAAAGTTTAAAACTAAAACATCTTTAAGTGTTTAAAAGTTTAAAATATGAGGACAAGAATAAAACATTACTTTTTACAGTGACCTCTCCATTATTGAGCTTTGTGTTTATGACATTTTTTATTTACCACATAAACTTCATTATGTATAAAAATTAATTTATGTTATCAGGACTTAATTTTTCATATAATTAGTGCAGGATCTTTTCTTCGAACTTTATCTTTAATTTCCTTGAGTTATTAAAATTTAATTTCCAAAATTTTCGTGCCACACGATCTTCTTCCAGTCTGTACAGGAAGCGCGATCGGCACTCCGGGCGATTTGGGCAAAGAACGTAAATTATGTGCGTCACGTAATGTTGCTGCTTCCGTGAACGACTAACACTCATATCCCAGTCACGCTTTCTTTTCCCTTACACCTTGTATATTTCCCATAAGTAATTCATTCCGTCTCTTCCTTGCGGCGCGAGTTGCACGGAGTTTCAAGTTCGTTACGTCAATCTAATTGCGACGGTTTCTGTCTCTCAACCCTCTGAATTTCAAGTATTTTTCATTTTAAGTGATCTCTCGGGAATCTTTAGCGTCTCTTCCGGCGCAATCGTCGCCTCCCACAAAGAATTTTAGTTTTCAGAATTATATGGCTTTCGCGTCTTCTCGTTTTCTGTTAGATGTTTACAAGCACGCAGAAGATTCGGTAATCAGTTTTATAAGCTTTTATTTGAACAAAAATTTTAGTTATATTCAAATACAACTCGTCGAGAATAACGGACGATTAAATGTATGAAAAGGAATTTTTTCATCGGGGATACATAGGACCGTCCGAGAACGCGATGAAAAGTCGAAAGCTTCGTGAACTTCGCACCGCACGTTGATCTGTTTCCTCACCGTGTCCAACTTCTCTCCAGGTCCTCTCCAACTTTTCTTATTTTTCTCTTTTTCCAATGTTTCTCTCTAGAGAGTAAATGGCATCCAGAGATTCGACAGAGGTTCATATAAAATTCCGTTACGCTTTAATCTGTAAGACGTCACCTCTCCTCTTTGATTAATACGTAATGGAATATTGATGATTTTGGGTCGAAATTGGATGCCACCGATCCCTTTCGATAAGTAATCTCGATGTCTTTACTTTTTCTTTTTACCTCTTTTTCTTTCTTTTTCTCTTGCTTTTTCCATTTGCGTCTTATATTTTTTTTTTCCTTTCGACACGGCTCTTCGTAGAACCGAGGCGCGGCGAGTAATGCGTAACCGATCGACAGAAATCTCTTCTCTTCGTGTAGGAAAAGGAGGATGGACCGGTGTACAAGTTTTACGAGACCATCCGCGATTTCGGGGACGACATCATGACAACCATCAGTCATCTGCATGACGTTACCCTCTTCGCGCCCAGCAACGAGGCACTGAACGAGCCGAACGTGAAGCAGATGCTGCAAGACAAGAACCGCATGAAGGAAATCCTCAAACTCCACTACGTCAAGGAGCGACTAACCCTCGACAAGATCAAGGACAAGAGTGTCAGCCAAGTAAGTCAGTTTTTCTCTTTGCGTGCGAAATTAACATGAGATTATAACAAAAATCAGGCTTCGTCTTCGAGTCACTTGTGTCCTTAAATAAAATATTGTGCCTGAAATATTAACTGCGCTTAACTCTAATCATATTTATGTGGGCTTAAATACATGTTTAATTACCTAAACATATAATCATAAAATATAAGATTCATCTCATATCAAGCTTACTTAATTTTTTGTTAAATTTAAATAACAAACATTGTTTTATTTTAAGAGAGACTCTTCTCTACGTATTTTCATCAGAAGCTCGACATATACATCGATATAATCATATACGTGGAGGTATATTATCACATTGATTAACCCAGCCTTTCTTTTTGTTTTTCCAAAGAAAGCAAGAGACTTCGTCGGGAAGTCACAAGTCGGGGTAATTACAGATTCATACAGCTTTCAATGTTCTCTCCTTTTTTTTCCTTTTTTATGCGTGAAACTGTTCGCAAACTCTATCTGCATCCATTCGCACTGTCCGCTTTCATGCGTTTCTCCATGTTGAATGTATTACGAGAGCGAAACGAATGCGAGCTAACATTTCCAACACTAACACGCCGCACCAGGGCATTCGGCAATCGATAGCGTCAATAAATCTCGTCCCGCCAATAGCTTTAGTAATCGAACGCCAAAGAGATTTCTATTCTTGCCGCGATACAACGGTATACAAGGTGATCGGAAAGTTACATTGAAATTTGAACGAGATTTGACGCGTTGCCGCTTGACAACAAATTTTTATTTCACAATTCCCATAAAGGGATGCTGGAGCAACGACCGAACTTGATTGATGTCGATAAAATAGATTTTTAATTCCAAATAAAACGTTATATACATCAAGTAAAACGTACATTTCTTGCTCTGTTATATTCTATATATTTCATGAATGCTATATGATTATTTACTCACACTGAAAAAATTTTGATCATTTTTGGTCCAATGGTCGTTAATCAATGTCCGACTGAATGTCCAGTTAATTCATTGATGCAATAACTGGATTCATTTATATAATTACATAAAATATTCATTCTTATAATGAATTCTAGTAATAGTTTTATAAAAAAAAAACCTGAATCATTTTAAAAATTCATTGGACCAATTTTCATTAATTTAATGAATATTTTATTGTATTTACGTACAGTTTCGGTTCAGTGTAGATCGTACTTTTTCATTCACTTCTCTTGTAAGTTTCGAAATCATAATTTAAAGGTCTCATTGTGGTCTTATAAATTATTCAAATGTGAGGAAACGACTTTTTGTTGAATATATACTTGCAATCATTTATATATGTGAAGAAATAACCTACTAGTAACATGAAACTATAATTTATAATTTCTTTTTACATAGATTCGTGTTTTTTCACATCTATTTTTCTTTTATTCTGAAGAAGGATTTTTCTGTAAGGAAAACGAAGAAAATGGGAAAGTACGAAATGTGTATACAGACAACTCCAGCATCCTTTTAAATCCTACATTTCTCGGTGTATCAAAGAAAACAGGCCCACGATTTATACTATCTCTTCTATTTTCTGCCTGAAACTTCTGGTTTTGGATCGAATCTTCAGCTTTCCAGCTGACAGAAAAGATTTCATTACTTTTTTTTTTAGTGAATGCACTAAAAGACAATAACAATTTTGATATAGTGATTATTGATCTCTGACAAAATAATGGGATCTTTGGCAAAAAAGGTGGCAATCGTGATCCACAAGAACGTCAAGCGACTCGTTCGATGAGAGGCTCTTTTCCGTCACCCCGTATACCGGGAAACGCACGATTCGAATGAAATTGCGGAGAGATTCGACAGTCCGCGGAATGGATTTCTGCCGTTTCGTCGACAATAGGATGTAACGATAATTGCGTATTTTTACGAGAAGTCGAGTTTCCCTTCAGGCGACAGCGGGGATGAACGAAAGCGAACTCACCTGGTAGGGCGCGATAAGAAAATTCGGCTTCCTCGGATTAAGTGGATTGGAAGATAAAAAAAAAGTTTCATGCGGGAGAAAAGAGACGTCTGACGTCATAACAATGCACGGAGACTGTTCCGCTCTTATAAACTTTGTTCAAAATCGACTGGCACACCGGTTCGTTTTCGCACTTTTCGAGGCTCATTATCATCCAATCAGCATGGTGGAACTTTTCATCGGAATAACAAAAAGTTCTCGGCAATTTTCCACCGGCTCTTGAATTTCCACTACCTCCCCTTTCCGCCGCTGTAGTATTTCCCCCTTGCATTTGCCTTCGCTTATTTTTACTGAATCGAAAACGTCTTCAACGACGACGAAATTGCAATCGTCCCAAGTCCTCCTCATCCCGTTTATACCATATTTGAGACGATCATGGCGCGAACGGTCGTGTGCATGGCAATTTCTTTATTGATCTCGTAATTGCTTCAGCGTTTTGGATCTTTCGATCGTCTGCTTATCATCTTTTTTTTCGCACCGACGTTCTGTAGATAGAATCGCACATGCAGCGTCGTTATCCGCATTATCAATCATACGCGTCGCAAAGCGTTTTCCGCGTAGCCTGAGAACGTCTCGTTAGCGCACGCGAGAACTCAATTACATCGGGGAAAACTGGCAAATACCGGTAATCGCAATGCGTCGGAAAAATCAACAGAAGACGTGTAATCGCTCATACGGCGTTGTTCTTTGTCGGCACGCACGATTTCATACATTAATCTTTAGCATTATTAACGACATCCACACAGAAGAAAAAGATTTGTTTAAACAACTAAAAACTTCATTGATGTAGCAAATTTACAGCTGTAATATAGCCAGTTTTCTACGTTAAAGTAACAAAGTTGTACAGCTGAATACAATTAGCGATTATGGATAGTCATATTTGTTGTAAAAGTACAGCAAATTTGTTAATACAGCAAAGATAATTTTCTATCCAATATAGATCAACATTTTTAACAAAACATGCTAGCTAAGCGTAATGTTGATGCTGTACACTAAATTTCTTGTAGTGAAATCTCACTCCAAGAGAGTGAAAATGCAGCCACTCTTGAAAAAAATAACGGTTCTCACCATCTTCACTCTTTTTAGAGTGAAATTTCATCTTTTTGGAGTGAGATTTCACTCCTTTGAAGTGAAAATTCACTCTAAAAATGAAATTTCACTCTAATAAGAGTTAAAATTGTTTCTTTTCAAGAAGTGAAATATTTTCACTTTTTTTCAAGGGTGATTGTATTTTCACTTTCTTGGAATGAGATTTCACTGTAAGAAATTTAGAGTGTAATGAAGAAAACTTATTAGCAATTTTCATAGAGCAAAGAATTAACTGAATTAACATATTGATAATTGCTTAAAGACTTAATTTCTTTGTTGAACCATCAAACCTTATGCGTTGCGACGTCGTCTACAATACACGGAGTAAGAAATAAGATTAAGAAGTTAACCATCACAATCGATTATTCTTCTCATATTTGACTGTGGTTGGTCAATTTCTTATTCTTACTTCTTACTCCGTGCATTGTAGACGATTGTAGATGTTGAACTCGCGCAGGAAGCTATAGCTTTGCTGAACTATTAAATTTATTTTTTTTTTTGTACATTATAGCGAACGAGTAGAGAAACGTAAAAGCAAAAAAGAGACGCGCGTGACACGCCGTTTCCTGCGATACGAATTTATACGAAAGCTGAGGGACCGTTGGGATAATTCTTGTGCAAAACCGATAAATTCCTTCCTGAAAACGCCCTCGTATGGCTACGGCTGAGTTTATTGGCTTTGCAACATTGTTTGCAGATTTGCCTGTTATCTATACGCACTGTCGAATTTATAGGGTGCCGCCGCGGTGCGACGCGTCTCGCAAATCCGTGGTGAAAAATCATGCCCGGCCGATTGCGCCTCGCGGGTTTACGAAAAAAAAAAAGGGAGGAAACGAAAACGTAGGCAGAATCATGGGCGAATTGCATCACGCAAATGTTCGATCGGAAAATACACCGACGTGGTATCACGATGGAAACTCTCGCGATATCGCTTTACAGCTTCCAAACAAACCAAACATTGGAATCGGATATATAATGATCCGTTCTGCTAATATTCATATACGATGCTATAAAGGAACGAAGCCAATTCTGATTAAATCGGTTTCCAATTTTCAAAATTTTTCCTTTCCATAAATCATATTTGAATTAATCGAATATCTTTATGGCTGAACATTAATTTAATAATAATTAACCTTAGAACGCTATTGATACATATATTTTACACGCAAATGAGCGAGGTCATTGAACGCTAAATTACGTCTTTAGTGCAGATCATCAGGAGGTCATGTTAAATCTGTCCAATCTATCATGTTGAAAAAAAGCTAGGACAAGCAGAATAATAAGCTTTTAAAAATTCGATCCATATATTATGTAAAGCGTGCTAAAGCAAAACGTTGTAAGCACCATTTTCTAAATTAAGAAAGCAACACAAATATTATGTAAAAGAAATTAATAAAAGAAGAGATAATACTGACACAATTTGTAAGTAAACTCTGTACATTTTTTTTCGATAAAATTAGTATTTATATAATATGTTAAATTGACAAGTATTTTATTTATCTTACACTGTTAGAAAAAATGTGTCAAATTTAACCTAAATCGCATGTCCCAAATGATCCACTCAAATTTTTAGTTAATTTAACACAAGATAAATATGTTATAGGCGGAGATTACGTAAGAGAATAAGCACAAAAAAGATAATATCGACACAATTTGTAAAAAGAACCACATAAAAGTATTTTTTTTCTTTTTTTTTCAGTAAAGTTAGCATTTATGATACGTTAAATTAATACACATTTCATTCATTTATCTTAGAATTGACGTTTTAAAACTCTTTATTTTTACGTTATTTGTTCACTTACTCATAAATTGTGTCATTTTGATGCAAAAAAAATGTTGAATACCAAAATCTTTAAATAACATACATAACCATATTATATTAAATCAATACTCAAATAATTTAACTCATAATTTTAACAAGGACTTGTACGGATCGTTTTCAACATAAATACAAAATATTTTTTATTGTATATATGTACTTAAAATTTACGTATCAATAGCAATACTCAATATCGGTAACGCATTCTAGGATTAAGTCGCAACTTTCTGAGTGAAAAATTCCATGATATTATGTAACAAATTCCCTTCTGTCGAACGTTATTCCTCAAAAGTTCCTTGAACTCTCGCTACTTTTATCGTAGTTATAAATAGGGAATCGCGGGCCGTAAACCAGAATAATCGAGTATCACCTTCTTATTTCACGAAGTGTGCTCTGTGAGCGCCTGGAAGCGGCGGGATAGCGTTTAATATCCTGCGGGAAAACTCGTGGAGCGAAAGAAATGTAAAGCAGCGTTGCGTTCCGCGCTTTCCAACGTTTCCTTTCCGGCGTCGAC